ATCTATCTAATGTACTGTATCTTTATCAGTGATAGGTGAAATCTGGAATAACAAGTGCAAAACCAGAACAATTACCTATAATGCTTTGTAAAAAAGGATTTTTCCAGTAGATTCATTCTTGTCATTTTGTAAGACAACCCTACAGTCCACCTGTTTGTAACTTTTTTAATAAAATAGATACCTGTATTACCAAGCTGGGCTCACTGCTCTGTGTTCCATCCTTCCCAAGGGGCTGAACTCACAAAGCAAGGTGTTTTGGGGGTACTGGTTATTCAAAGCAGAGTAACCACATCTGAATTGTCATGAGTGACTGCTTCCACTGCAGGAAACGGGGTGTGCAGCTGTGCCCAGGCTGGGTGCAAAGCTCACGGTCTCAGGTGCTCTGAGTAGAGAGGAGGGGAGCAGGTGCTGGGCTTTACATTGTTACTCTGGGAGCCTGTTCAGAGCAGTGATGGTCCCTCTCTTCACAGGCCAGGGTGATGAGGCCTTTATGGAAACAAGTCTCTGTGGGTGGTGGGAGGCAGGAGCCTGTTGTAACAGGGTTGAGCCACAGTGATGATGGGATCTTGCTGTGATGCTGCCAGCCATAGAACCATAGAATCCCAGACTGGGTTCTGTTGAAGGGACCTTAAAGCTCATTCAGTTCCAACCCCTGCCAGGGACGGGGCAGCCACAGCTTCCCTGGGCACCCTGTGCCAGCGCCTCAGCACCCTCACAGGGAAGAGCTTCTGCCCTCTCAATGCAGTCTAAATCCAGGCTGGCTGTTTCGGGGAGCTTCATAATCATCTTTTTCTCTGGTTTAGCAGCTCCTCCTGTAGCAGTGCAGAGCCCCTGCAGAAGCCTCCCCAGCGCGCCACTCCCCCATGCAGGCAGAGGACAAGTGTCTGGCAGCATGGCTATAGAGAGCAGCGACTGGAGCGGGCTCCCACCTCGCACGGGTGACAGGTACAGGAGGTGACACAGATGGTGATGGTGATGATGATGATGGGGTGGCACTGACACGGGCGGTGCTGGGTATGAACCGCCTGCAGCAGGACAGCCCGAGGAGGAAGTGCAGCAGATACCGGCATGGGTGGAGGGTGACCGCGCCTCGGTGGAGCTGTTATCTGCGCTAATGGGCTTGGCTGTAATTACAGCTGGGAGCTAGGTGGAAGTGTCTGGTCTTCATTAAAATGAGATACGGGTTCTAAACCCGTCCGTGTCAGCCTGTTGGAGTTACCCCTGCTGAGAAGCCAGCAATCCTGGTGCTTGGTTTGCTGGTGGGTGCTTCAGTTTGGGAGTCACTTCCTTGGCAGCTGGAGGAGGTGATGTACGGTGTGCTGCACACGTAGCTGGAGGCAGGCTATGTGCAGAGGTGAGGTGCTCTGTGCTCTCTGAAAGGGAAATAACCTGGCTTTTGGGGCTTTTTATCTCTGCCTGGTCAATGCAGCTGCGAGGAGCAAAGACTCAGCTGTAAATCAGCAGCAGCGTTCAATTCAAAGGTCAGATCCTACCTGTAGTAGTTTCCTGGCTCTGCTGAGGGCAGCATTGAGCTTATGGTAGCTTGGCTGGCAGCGATGAGACAGTTCAATTACAAGATTGTAGGGGATGAAGTTTGTTGTTCTCCATGGAAACTGCATTTAGTACGGAATTAACTCACTTGCCTCTGGAGCTCTCTTTCAAAGCTGGGGTTCTCTACAAGTCCTTCCAGAACGTCTTGAGCAACACTGATGGCAGCAGTGACTGCAAGGACTGAGGAGGAAGTCCCTCATGTTGCAGGACTCTGCTCACTGTCCACCTCCAGGAGGCTTTGCTGCTTGCTTGGTTGTGGTGTGTCCATGCTTGGTGTTCTGTCTGAGAGTGCGGCGACAGCTTCCCAACAGTGCCTGGCTTCCCCCAAACCCCGTTCCCAGTGCTAAGGCTGGAGTGGGGTTACTGGTTCTTGCCTTGGAAGACCAAGTGGTAGCTGTGGCTCATCCCTCCTGGGGGCACAATGGGGAAAGCCGTGCTAAAGCTGGGCAGTGCTTGGACTCACCTTCCGGCTTCCACATGCAGCAGTGCTGCAGAATCACTTTGAGCTGCTGGCCTGCAAAGAGGTAAGTAAAGAAAGAGCAAAGTTAAGAATGTGCTGAGATTTATGACAGCATCCGTGTCTGCCACCCCTCTGTGGCACTACGGTGTAGCTGGCTCAGACTGAGGCTTCTTGAGCTGCGTACTAAAGGCTATAATTGATTTGGGCAACATAGCCTGACATGAGGAGTCCCTGCCTGTGGCAAGAGGGTTGAAACTGGATGATCTTAGGATGATCTTAAGGTCCTTTCCATCCCAAACCATTCTGTGGTTCTATGGTTCTCCAGCTGACTGCACTGTGAACCAAACAGACCATCAGCTTCCTGCGCAGTTTCTGGCTCCTCTTTTCCTTTCCCCCCACCTCCAGGCTCACCAGATCCGCAGTTTGGTGTCCTTGGAAGAGCTGCCTTGCCATTAGATGTAAATGATCTGGCCAGCCAGAAAAGAGAGAATAGGTTTGGAGTTTGAGACATCCCTTAAGGGCCACTCGTCTGATTTGGGAAGTGGCAGATAGGCTGATTAATCCTCAGCTTGGGGTTCATCCTTTCTCCTTTAAGCAGATTCCTAATGGCTGTGTAATGAGCAGCAGCGTGGCTGCTATGGGAAGACGGGAAGAAATACACTGGATTTTAGGAAAGGTGACGTTGGAAAAGGGAGGAGGCGGCTCCCGGAGCGCGGCTGGAGCCAGCTGGAGGTGGTGGAGAATTCCCAAAGGCAGCGTGGGACAACCAGCGCCTATGGCCCCTGCCTTGTGTGTTGAGAAAGAGTGAAGGGAAGAGAAGGGAGTAGGGGAAGAGAGGCTGCATGGGAGGAAAACAGGCTCACAAACTGGGCGTCAAGATCCATATGGGGAGATGGGTTTGACCCGTGCCCCGGCGGTACCTGGAGGATGTTTCTTTGCATAGGTGTAATCAAGGCTTTCTCAACCAGAGCCGATTGTCTCGAGGCAAGAGGGAAACCGCATCTGTCATGAAAACCAGCAGTGTAATTCCTTGGAATTCCATCCTTTCCACTAAGATTCAGCCTTGCAGATTCACCTTGGCAGCTTCCTCAGATGAAGCCTTCGGCCGTAGAATACTCCCTGAGGAAGCTTAGCAAAGGTTTTCATCATCAGGGCCTTTAATTCCCTGCTGAGGAGCTGCTGCTGCTTCCAGTCTTGTAACAGCCAGAGCTGCACGAGCAGCAGAGCGGACGCTTCCCAACTCCCACCCAGGTTTCTGCAGGGCGGTGCTTGGGGTCTGTGGGCTTTCCCTTGGGGAACAACCTAGGGAAGAGCTGCACATGGCTCATGGAGAGCCTTAGGGAGGGGTGGTTGGTTTGACTCCCTGACGGCGTTCCTGAGGACAGAGCTTGGCCATTGGAGACCCTGTTGCGGGACCGCTGCGTTCCAGGTGAGCTCCCAACACTTCTGGCTGTCGCTGTGGGGATGTGTGGGTGCACCGGGAATGGGTCATGCCTGGAACAACTTGCGGACAGCAATACCACTCCTGTGCTTTGTGCTGCTACACAGATGTAGTGAGGTGCAGCTCCCTAGCTAGAAATGGCTTTGGAGGCATCAGCGCTCCTTCGGCTGGATGCATCCATGAGGCTTGCAGAAATGGCTTTCTCGTGTCTTCGCAGTGACCTGTTTGAATTAAACATCGCAGAGTGCCCTTTATAGAGCTGTGCCAACCGAGTGCAACTGGGGTATTAAAAATGAGCTACTGTGCTCTGGAGAGCACCAGAGCCAGGCTCTTCAGTAGTTTCTTGTAGAGCTTGTGCTGTTACCCGCATTGCCTTGCAGCAAGCTGCCCTCCTCGGTGCCTGGGAGTGGTTGCTGCATAGCAAATCAGGGCTGGGAAAGGAAGCACAGCGAATACACACGGGTGCCCGCAGGCTGCCCTGGTGCTGCGCGGCGCTGCTCTCCCCGGCAAACCCCATGGTGGGCTCTCTTTGTGGCTGGGCTCAATCACCACGAGATTGCTTGGAAGCAAAGAGCGGGAGCAGCAGCATAGAGCCGCAGGCACCGCCAGGGATGGGGCAGCCACAGCTTCTCTGGGCACCCTGTGCCAGCGCCTCAGCACCCTCACAGGGAAGAGCTTCTGCCTAAGAGCTCAGCTCAGTCTCCCCTCGGGCAGGTTAAAGCCATTCCCCTTGTCCCCACTGAGCTTTAAGGTCCCTTTCAACCCAAACCATTCTGTTACTCTATTCCTATTGAAGTCTTCATTTTACCTTGTTTGCTGCCGCTGGCTCCACCCTGGCTGTAGGATGGCTCTGTAGGGTGGCCGGAGGCCCTGATGAATCCAGACCTGGACCCTGCCATGCCTGCGATGTGGGAGCTGCTCTTCCCAGCGCCATCAACATCTGACACCAGGAGCACTTAGAACTGCAGAGGGGGAAGCGCCCTCAGCATCCCCAGAGGTTTGTACATGGCACTGCCCTTGTGCTGCCACACACAGAGCCCCGACCTCAGGGCCAAGGGCAGTGCTGGGAGTCTATTCCTGCACACTGGGTACAGCCAGCCCCTTGCGGCCCCTCTGCTTTGAGTCTCACCATAAAGCACGTTGGCTTTGACTTTAAGGCTGCTTTTTTGTCCTGGTTATCAGAAGACTCGTGGGGTTTTGTGCAGCTGAAAAGCTCCACGCTTTTCCTTTCTACCCCAGGTGACGATGAGCTCTGTGTGTCCTGACCAGCTCTGTCCTAACATCCCCAGGAGTATTCGGGAAGTGGAAGAGGGACCACAGCAAACGGCCTGGGGTGACTTCAGCAGATGCCTTGGTGGAAACAGGGAAGCGAGCAAGAAGCACAATCTCCATAGCACTTCATGGGACATCTTCCGTTTGCTGAGACGCGTTTCTGTCGCTTCGGGTCCCATGGGGTCCTGTGTGGTTGTGACTTTTTCCAGCAGCAGCAGCAATAACAACCATCTGTGACAGCCCCGTGCTGCCTTTTGGCATCTTTGCGGGTGTGGGGACATGAGTTTTCAGGTGTGGAATGGGAACCAGGCTCATCGAGGGCTCATAGGACTTCACTGCCCTGCCGAAGCGGGGTGGGAGCTGGGAGTTCCTGCTGTGCCTCCCTAGGAAGGACTCTCACCTGGTTCCACGTTCAGCTGCAAACACGTCCCAGTGAAGCCCATCAGTGCATCCGCCTGCTCTGTCCTTACCTGCCAGCCTCATGGAGCCAGCAGTAGGATGGGCTTTCAGTGCACCTGCCCCAGGCTAGGGACAAGGTGCTGCCTGGTGCTCGCTGCCTCTGACAGCAGGCACCCACCTCATCCCCCTGACCCCATGGTACGAAGCATGGGCTCGCTTTGCTCCTCGCCCCCTGCAGAAGCTCAGTGTTTATCCAACCCCCACTGGTGCCCCTCTCGCACAGCGTTTCCCCCGTTAACACACCCAGAAAGCATCCTGCGGTGCAGTGGTGACATTAAACCAGGGGAGGTGGCCGGGTTTCTGTTCTGAAGCTGTCAGTCCCCTCGCTCCAGCCTCCGCTCCGCATCCGTGACTTCCCCACGCAGCTGCGAGGGACATTATGTGTGCAAGAGGAGTCGGGGCTGCCTGCCCGGCGCGCTGCTCACATCGCTGGGACCACTGCACGCGCAGCCACGGCCCCCAGGATGCTGCACCTCAAAGTCCAGTTTCTGGATGACTCCCAGAAGATCTTTGTGGTTGATGTAAGTGGGCATCGTATCCGTATTGGAGGGGGGGGGTTATACTGGTTATTGAGGTCATTGCTGCTCTGAAGGGTTGTGTGGTTTCTGATGGCTTCTGGGTTTCAGCTGAATCCAAACCAAGAGATGATGGTGCTGATTGCCAAGTGCTTTCAGCACCAGCACGCTCCTGCTCTCCCCTACTATGGGCATTATTTATAAAGGAGGAGGAACGGCTTTTACTTATCCTTTGGAAATGAGCTAATACGAAGTGATGCTCTTGACAAGTGCCGAGTCCTTCTCTCCTTTGTCCTGCTGCCAGTCTGAGCGTTCAACAAGGAAGAGAAAGCTGAGAACAGAATAAAAACAGCACGCTTAGGCAAATTACCCCTGGTGAGAAACACCTGCATGCGGCTCTCCCTGGGCAGCCAGCTGAGACAGAAACCGGGCGGGTTTGTGAGCAGCTGAGGGGAAAACCTCGCTCTACCTTATTGTCTGCAGGACAGTGTCCCACAGCTTTGAAATAGGTTTTAAATGTGAAGTATTAATATGTGTGCTGTGAGAGAGAGATACGTGTATGCACACAGGTAACTGGAACTGGGTATGGCTTGACTGTGTGTTAGAAGCATCTCTGTGCAAGTCTGATTGAGCATCTGCTGTTGGTTAGGATTTGAGCATCACGGTAGCTAAGTGACTTAGCTGAGCCCAGTAGACCTGCCCTAGCACTCACCTGCAGCTCCTGTGGGGCCAGAGTGCTCAATCTGAGCTTGTTTTCCCCAAGTCCTATTCCATTTCCCAGCCTTCCCTGTTCTCCAGGTTCCCAGCACAGCCGGAGAACTGCTCCGTTTCTCTGCAACAGCAGAGGATTGTAAAGCAATTCCATCCCTTGGCGCAGTGTGGAAGTGGTTGGATTCAGTTTAATTCATGTATCCTAGGCCTGGAGTCAGCTTAAAAATGAGATCAGTCATCTTTAAATGTCTTTTTTGTGTCGGTTTTTCACATTGATTAGATCAAGGCACAGTTAGAGAGCCTTTAAAAGCTGATGCTGGTACAATGTTGTTGCCTTGTTTTCCATCTCTGCTTTCTTAGGTGCTCAAACCCACAGCACTCCAGTGCTGCTGGACGCTTTATTGCAGCAAAGAGCTTCCATTAGAGGAACTCCTGGTCATTTCCTTTTTTAGCATGGAACGGTATTGCAAACCCCTTTTAGGCATTTCATGCATTTGATGCTCTCTGTGCACGGTAAATGAGAGGCTGAATTAGTGACTTCTCCATTACAAAAGGACCGCTTTGGGCTAAGGTTTGAGCAGATATTTCAAGCAACTCTTCCTAAACCCATCCTGACTTTGGAAGGCTCCTTTGAATGTGCAGTACTTCAGTGTAATGGGAGGGAAAAGGACAAAAGAGAGATGCCACAGCGGCCTGATTCCCCCTTGCACCCGGCGTGTGCCTCTCTACCTGCCTCACATGGGTATCACAGCTGCCAGCACGTGCGTGAGGTCTCATTTCCAGCCTGGATTTGCATGGCAATGAGTTCTTTTCCGGATGCTGCTCTGGGAAAGCTGCTTCCATCCACATCCTCACTGACAGCCGGGACCTGGCACCTCTCCATGGCCACTGAGCTCCCAGGGTTTCCTTGGGCTGGGGGCTGGAGGTGGGATGGGGCAGGGGCCAGGGCCAGGGATGGGGCAGCCACAGCTTCTCTGGGTACTGCTTCTCAATAATATTTGTCCCATGGCAGGGGGCCCTGCACTGGGAGGGCACAGAGATCCCCTGCCCCCTCCCCAGGGACACAGCCACAGGTGGCTTTTCATGGGTTTAACTGGTTTCTTGCACCAGGATGAGATGCTGCAAAACTCCTCCCTCCCTCCCCTGGACACCTACGTCAGTTTTCTCTCTGGAAATGGTTTAAACAAACAGTGTCCTGAGCCTGGGCAGCCTCTGGAGCCTCCCCAGAGCCGCACTGGAAGGACAAAGCACTTTGCAGGTGGAATTTGCTACATGCAAGAGGCAGTGGGAAGGAAAAGAAGAAAGAAAAGACAAACCAAACAAGGCCAGAGAGCATGATGGCTGGGGCTGGACAGAGACTGCTGTGGTCTCGTGTCCTTTATGAGGAGTAAAGGTGGGAATCTGTTGACAGATGTGCAGAGCTGGCACAGGGAGCATCAGGGCTGGTGAGGGGGTTTGGTGCAAGGCATCCCCTGCCAGCTGCAGCCTTGCAGAAGCCCCTGGCATGGGAAGTGCCTCCCAAGGTAGGGAAAGATCACACCAAATCCCAGGAGCTCCCAGTGCCCCTAAACCACAGACCTGGGCGCAGCCCAAGCACCGCTGTACCCAGCACCCCTGGTGAGGGTTGGTACCCCCCAAGCCAGGATGGGACACGTGTGAGCAGCTCTCTGAGGGGGACAGGCTCTGAAACCAGCCCTGCACCAGCTTTTGTTGGTGTCCCCATCAGCAGGGCTCCCCGGGGCCAGGCGGGGAGGAGAGCGGGTGGCTCCCAGCAGACGCGTGGTGGGTAATAACCCGGTAAGAAACCCTTGTCTTTCCAGGCTGCCTGACAAAGGCCAAGGCCTTTCATGCTGGAGGATTCCAGCTTGGAAATAACCACTTACAATGGTTTTAATTACCCTGGTGATCCTTCACTTGGAGGAGAACCGGGAGGGCTGTGGAGCCGATGCTGTTATTACGCTATCGCTTTCCAGCAGCCTTTCAGCACGGAGCCAGCAATTTCATCGCGGGAGAAGCCGGGACAGGTGGTGATTATGTGCATCACCCCCAGCAGCAGGGTCCCTCCCACCGCTGCCATGGGGAGCTGCAACCTTTCCCACCCAAAGCGCTGTGATTGAGGAGCTGCAGAACCCGGCCTCCCCGCACTCAGCTGCGCTCTGGGCGAGGAGCAGCAGGGCTCTGGCTGGGGTGGGAAGCTGCCAGGTTCGCTTCTGGGGCTCCCTCGGGTGTTTTGCGCAGTGTGGGCTGTTCCCAGCTGCGTCCCACAGCAAGTCAAGCAAAACACGCTCCGAGTGCCTCTGTTTACTGGGAAGAACCGCAGCCTGGCCTCCCTTATCCGCACGTAGTGCCACTTCATCGCTGTTGTCAGAGCCCAGCGCTGCCCCCAGGGCCCAGCATCTCTGCAGGGTGCTATTGCTGCTCATCACCATTAACCGTGATAGCAGCAGTGCCGGGGCCGGCTGCCGGGGAGCACGGGCTCGCTGCACAGGTTTGAGGTGTGCTCCCGTTTGCCGAGCTCATCGCAGGGATAGGGCTGCCCAGACCATGAGAGCTGCAAAAGGTGAGCCCAAAGCAGCAGTTCGTTCCTGCCCTCCCCTTTCTGCTTCACGTTAATAGAGGAGAGAAGTGGTGAGAAAGAGCCTGATTTCCAAGCGCGAGGTAAGGGGCACAGGGTTCACAATCTCCCTGTCGCACACGCACTGGAGCCAACGGCACTGATGCAGTAAGGTTTTGCTGCAGCAGGGTCAGGAAAATCCCAACAGCTCCCGGGGTGAAGGCAGGAGCTAGAACTTCTCCCCCCATCCCAACTGAAATCCCACTGCCCCGCTGTCCCCTTGCCTAACCCGCTGCTTCCGTTCTGCTTGTTTGCCAGCAAAAGTCCTGCGGGAAAGGGCTGTTCAACCTCACCTGCAGCCACCTCAACCTCACCGAGAAGGAGTACTTTGGGCTGGAGTTTCGCAGCCAGGCTGGGAACCAGGTGAGTGCAGCTCGCTGTGATGCTGCTCCGTGCTGCATCCTCACACGGCGGGGCTGTGCCAACACCCCCCTGAAACACCCAAGGGGAGATTTCAATGGGAAGTGATGCCAAACCCCCCTGAAAATGGGACTTAGGAGGGGAGCCACTGGTTGACACAGTCCCAGTGATAGCCATGGTCCACGGGGTTTATCCATAGCTGCTCCTGCAGGATGCTCACCGCAGCCCCTGAGCTGGACAATGGTTTTGTATTGAGCTCTAGCATGATGCTGCTGTTATTCCCTTCCTCTTGTGCTGTTAATTCACCCAGCTCTTCATTGCCTTATCGTTGCAGGTCTGGTTGGAAGCACTGAAGCCCATAACAAAGCAGGTCAAAAGTAAGTATTTAAAGAGCACTGTTATTCCAAGTGCAGCATGCTAGTGCTGACCCATTGGTGCAGTGTTACTGCTGGGGGACAGGGGCTCTGGTTCCAGCGTTTTCTCTTTGGTGGTATCAAAGTGCCCAGCTCCCTGCTATCACTGGGGATGGGGGCAGGCTGGAGCCCCTGCTGGTCAGGGTCCAGGGTAATGTACTGTGTGAGGAGGGTGTGTGAAGAGGGCTATGGGTGCTCTGCAGACCCGTAACCCAGCACTGATGAAGGTGTTGTGTTTTAAGATCCTAAGGAGGTTCTTTTCAAATTTATGGTGAAATTTTTCCCAGTGGACCCCGGCCACCTGAGAGAAGAGCTCACCAGGTACCCGCTTGTTCTGTCGCTTTCTTACCACCCAGCCCTGTACGTCCACAATTGCAATGCACGCATTTCATTCCTCATCTTCATCCCCCCAAACCTGTCTGTGGGCGGTACCTTGTCCCAAGTATCAGGAGCAATGTGTTTCACAACACAGAACCCCAGGGATAACCTTTTCTGGATGCTCTGTTTTCAAACCAAGCCCACTTGAGGTGCCAGCTCTCTGAAGAGGCTGCAATGTGGCTCCTGCCAAAGCCTTTAGCAGTTGGGCCCCAGCTCTGACTTTGCTCAGTCTGGCTCCCGCCTCAAGCTCTGTTCTGGAAGAAGTAACTTTAATTTTACTATTTAAAATGACATTGTTAGCTCCTATGTTTATACAAGCAGGAGCTAAGAATAAGACTAAGACAGTGCTTCTGCGGAACATTAGCCCAGAGAGTGATGCAAACATCCTCCTAAACATAGAGGAATGTTAACTCTGAAACCTACTGATGGGCACTTCGGTGGCAAGGGTGTTCTGGTTGTGGTGGTGCCTTCTCCAGGGCCTCTGTGCTCCTCCGTGGCCCCACAGACCTGCATCCCTTGGGCTGAAGCATGGGCGAGGGCAGGGGGAGATGTGGGGCTGGCAGCAGAACCCTCACTGCTCATTCCAGTGCTCACATCAGTGCTGAGCCCGGCTCCTGCCCAGGGCACGCTCCTGTCCCTTCCGCAGGTACCTCTTCACCCTCCAGATCAAGAAGGACCTGGCGCAGGGGCGGCTGCCCTGCAGCGACAAGAGCGCGGCGCTGCTCGTGTCCCACCTGCTGCAGTGTAAGGGCAGGGGATGCTGCCCCTTCCCCAGGGACAGGGTTTGGCTGTGTGACCCCTCACAGCCTGACCCACAGTCTCCCCATGTCCCCTGCAGCCGAGCTGGGTGACTTCCACGAGGAGACGGACCAGGAGCATCTGGCATCCCACAGGTACCTGCCCAACCAGGAGTACCTGGACCACAAAATCATGCACTACCACCGGAGACACAGGTAAGAGCTGCTCCGACCACAGCCACCTACTTGGAGCATCCGATGGGCGCCTGTAGCTGGGACAGCTCCCATCAGCAGCAGTGCGGGTGTGACGCCCGTGTGTGCACATCCCAAACGGCGTCTTTGCAGCCCGTTTTCAGCAGCTGCCTTCTCTTGTTGCTTCCTGGCACGTTCGTGTCTGCAGCGGGAAGACGCCGGCCGAGTCGGATGCTCAGCTGCTGGATGTGGCCAGGAAGCTGGAGATGTACGGGATCCGTCCGCACCCCGCCAGCGACGGCGAGGGGCTGCACATCAACCTGGCCGTGACACACATGGGGGTGCTGGTCCTGCGGGTGAGCCTGGGGCTCGGGTGGGCACCCAGCTTCTCCCCAAGGACATCCCCTCCAGTTGGGGAGGGGGGGCACCCTTTTCCCTCTGCATGCTCCAAACCCTCCCAAATCCTACACCTCACCGGTCCTTGGGTGTGGAGGTGACGGTTGTGGGGCTCAGTGCCACCGTCCCCAGCAGCACCTGGAGCTCAGTGCCATGATTCATGCTGCCAGAGCCAGAATCATCCATAACCAGAACACCTGTGAGCCCCTTCAGCTCTGGGCTCCCCCAGAAAGCTGGGAGGGTCTCGGTGGCTCAGCACAGGCTAATGCAGGTTTAGGTGGTCCTGCTGTGACACCAGCGCTGTGCGGCTGTGCCTGGACTGATGTGCGATGAGAATGAGGGGTAAGGGATGCCTGCAGCCTCCTTAAGTTGCATCTAAAGGCATGGGAGTGAACTGAGCTCTGCTGCACTTCCCAGCAAAGGAGAGGAGGGTCTTAGCCCTCTTGGAGGGCTGATCCTCTATTAACCTATGTGGTGTTGGAGCTGGGACAGGTAGGACTCTGCCTTGATCTCTGAGAGGCTTTTCTTGGGACCCTGGAGTTTTACAAACAGCGTCAGGAGGCGTTGTTAAGCCCTGAACCTCAAGTTCCTCTTTTAGGTCTAAGTGATGGAGAGGAGGGTCAAATCCCAGCATCCCTTCCCAGACCCCAGCATCACTGAGCTGCATCAATCTCACGCAGTGTCCTGCGAGCTCAGGACTTGGCCCATCATACTGTGTATTCCCAGCTTGCCCCGTCTGTACCGGCCGTGTGTGTCCTTGCAGGGCAACACAAAGATCAACACCTTCAACTGGTCCAAAATCCGCAAGCTGAGCTTCAAGAGGAAGCACTTCCTGATCAAGCTCCACGCCAACATCGCAGTGAGTACCAGGCTCGGAGCTGCAGTCCCCAGGTGTGAACAGCCTCCAACCCTGCTGCTTGTGGGTGCTGCTCCCGCATCCCCACGGGGTGACACTGCACTGCCTGGAGCCGCGGGGACCCTTGCTGGCTCAGGAGGGGGAAGAGCAGAGCCCAGCCCCATGCCCTGACGTGGTTGCGCTGTCTCTGTTGATACAGGCACTGTGCAAGGACACGCTGGAGTTCACGATGGCGAGCCGCGATGCCTGCAAGGCGTTCTGGAAGACGTGTGTGGAGTACCATGCCTTCTTCAGGCTGTCCGAGGAGCCCAAGTCAAAGCCCAAAGCTCTTCTGTGCAGCAAGGGCTCCAGCTTCCGCTACAGGTAAAGTCCCAAGGGAACAACCGGAGCACAGCCCTGGCTGGCTGGAAGCGGGTGAACCCAGGGCTGGGGCTGATGGTGCTGCTCACACCTCTCGATGCTGCAGCGGCAGGACGCAGCGGCAGCTCCTGGAGCATGGGAGGAAGGCGAAGAAGAGCCTGCCCTTCGAGAGGTACCGGGGGGCACGGAGAGGGGCAGCGCTTGGGTGCTGTTTGGGGGGCGATGGGACCCTCGTCGCCACTCACCCCCCCTCCATGCTCTGGGTCTTGCAGGAAGCACTACGCATCCCGCTACGACGAGAGGCAGTGCCGCTCCTCCCCGGACCTCCTGACCGACGTCTCCAAGCAGGTGCGTGCCCACGGTGGCAGCGGTGGGCAGAGCCGTGCCCCGGGGGTCCCCTGGAAGCTCTGGGCCTCGCTGCCAGCCCCGCTCTGCCCCACTGCTCTGTCCCTGCTCAGGTGGAGGAGCTGCGCCTGGCCTACGGCAGCCGCGGCTCCTACCATGCCAATGGGGCGCACGCCTCGGAGCCCACGCTGGACACCCAGCGCCGCAGCTCCGCCGTGGAGGTGACGTTTGCCGCCGAGCTGGAGCGCTCCAAGCCCGAGGCGTCCGCATCCTTCCTGCCCCACTCCAAGAGCTCGTTCGCCTTCCCCCTGCTCTACGCAGAGCTGGAGCAGGAGCGGGCATGGGAGCCCCCCGACCTCTTCGGTGCCAGGACCCCCCTGACGTCCTTTCGGCCCCACCAGCATTTCGCTGGGAACAACAAAAGCACCTCAGTGGGCAACATGCGGGAGGTGAGCGCCCGGCCGCTGGTGTACCTGGACGTGCCGTGTCCACCGCCCGCGGCCGCCCCGGCCCCGCAGGTCCTCTTCTACATGGACGTGGCCCCACAGCCCCCATGGCATGCGCTGGCACCCGGTGAGGACGCAGCAAAGCACCCCAGGCAAAGCCCGATGGGGCCCCGGGGCAGGGAGCTGCATCGCGAGGCTGCGTGCATGGGGAGAACAGGGCAGAGCAGGTCTCTGGCTCACTCCTTCGATCACGGCCTCCAGGAGCAGCCCCCCAAGCGCTCCTGGAGCCAGTCGGACATGAAAACCATCCGCTTCCCCTTCGGCTCCGAGTTCCGGCCGCTGGGGCCGTGCCCTGCGCTGAGCAGCAGCAAAGGGGGAGCCTTTTGGCCCGTGCCTGCGCCGCGGGGGCCGGGGCCGAGGCGCTCCACGGAGCGGTACCTGGGCAGCAGCACCGAGTCCAGCGACTCCGACCCCGACCTCCTGCCCTCCGAGCACTGCTCCCTGTACGGCCGCGTGCTGCGGGCACCCGTGGCCCGCGTGAGGCTGAGCTCCGGCAGCCTGCAGCTGGATGAGGAGGAGGAGGAGGAGGAGGAGGAGGAGCCCTTCGCCACCCGCGCTGCGGGGGACAGCACGGGCAGGTCCAGGTATTTCACTTAGGGGCCTGGCAGCGGCAGGAGGGGCTGGCCCTGACCTGGGGCCGCAGGAGGGTGAGGCTCCCGCTGTGGAACAGTGATGGGCTGCCCTGGGTGGGGGGTTAGGGGCAGAGGATGTGTTAATGGACAGCAGGGCAGGGGGCAGAAGTACCCAACCCCTACACCCCAGGGCACAGCAGAGGGGCAGGATCCCCTCCCCGAGCTGCTGCTCACGCTCTGCGGGTGCAGCCCAGCACACAGGAGGGGTTCTGGGCTCAAGCGCACACTGAAGCTGGGACATGGGGAGCTTCTCCCCCCTCCCAGCACCCCAAGTCCTTCTCAGGGCTGCTCTCAAGTGGATGTTGCCACGAGCAGGATGCTCAGGGGAGGTCAGAAATAGGCTGAAACAGGAAAAGAACTGGGCCGTGGGTACTGCGCATCCCGTGCATCACTGTGCTTGGTAAGAGCTGGACAATAAAAATGAGGTGTTCACAACAGAGCGTTGGGTTCCTTCTTCTGCCATGAGGCCATGTTATCCTGCACCTCCCCACTGCCCTTATTGCCCCATGGAACTGCTGGGCTGGTTTCCCCCTCCTGCCACTGCTGCTGGCTCCCTCTGTGCCTTCACTGTCCCAGCGACTGAGGAGAGCCACTGCGATCCCTCAGTGCTGCTGAGAGCAACCACCTTGGTTGGTTGCCCTATGGAACACATTAGATCAACAGGAGAGCACAAAGTGAAGTCTGCTTTTGCTCCTGGCTCTCCTGTGCCAATGCTGTGAACTACAGGGACTGTATTTTATGTATGTTAGGACAGAAAAAGCAGCAAAGTGTGCACAGTATACAGAGAACTTCACTTTGGAGAAGGACAAGACAGGTTTTCAGTCTGTTTACCTCATCTCTGCAGCAAGGGTTACTTCATTTACTGGAATACCCTGAGACAAGCCAACACACATACCACTAAATCTCTGCAGAGGAAAATACATTTTATTCCAGTGTTCAGTCATAAAACAGCGTGATAAAATCAGACCTTTAACAACTGCTAAACTTTGTGCAAACACATCCAGGACCTACACACTTCCCTATTCGTGTATAGGCATTGGATCAAATGCAAGAGCAGGCAGTTAGGTTTCTACATGCACAGAAGTGGAACATGAGGAGTCAAACCGAAGCGTTTCAGAATGGTCACACTGATAAAGGACTCATCTACCCAAGAACATGTTTTTATTCCGATCCAGACTACTTCAGTGTCAATTCTCCTCCGTTTACCATGGGAAGTCCAGCAAATCAAGCTAGAAGATGGTTTTCCTGCAGGAAATTTTGCTCTATCATTCCATTAGCTACCTGCCAGCAACAGAATACTGCTGATTAAGTTACAGGCTTCATCAATAACTAACGCACAGTGGGGAAAGACAACTGTTCTCTGGAAACCAGGAACATCCATCCTTAGGAGTTACAGTCTTATGATGCACAGAAACTTCAAGGACAGATGTGCCATGTGCAGTACAGTGACAGCTTCTGGAATGGACTGTGCTACAAGAGCAAGGCTGCATCATACGCACATGGATGAGGTTTCCCTCACACTGCCCTATGAGGCAAGTGTTCATCCCACCCATTTCACACGAAAGGAAGAGGCACCATAGTCCAGCAGCTTGTTAAAGTTGTATCACACACAGGACAGGTCCCAGCTTCCCAAGGAATTTACTACCTCCACCTATCCAGAATGGTGAAGACTCACACAGAGGGAAGACTGTGTCAACAGGGAAGAGCCACCAGTTACAAAATCCAGGAGGAATTCCCATCGCCTCTCCCCTCAGTCTCTCACATAGGAGACCTTAAAGGCTGAAGTGACATGGAAGAGAAAACCACATTTTTAACTCTGAGAAATGGGTATGGAGCTCCTTAAAGCAAGTTGTGGCTTCAGCTTGCTGAAGTGAACCTGTGGCCCAGGCCTGTCTGGACCTTCGCTCCACAATGCTGAGACCCCAGTGGAGTCAGAGCACTCTGACATCTCTACCACGTTCAGCTGAGCACCCACATCCTGAAGACTCCTCTTTAGGAACAGAACCACAGTGAGCCCTGGGGCTGCTCCATCCATTCCCCGTGGCATAGCTGCTGGGAGGTGTCCTCTGGACAAGAACAGCATGGGGGACCCAAACCTTTCCAAAGCAACCATGTAGCCCTGTGCCAGGAATGCCTTTCTTGCACTAGAACACAAGTGTTGCTAAAATCCAGAATGAAATCCACAACAGAACAAGCCCATGAAAGTTTACAGAACTTAAATATTTATTTTTAAACCATTTAAAACCCCCCAAAACATTGAAATAAGCTTCATCTATAAACAGATTTACAAGACTACCAACTACAGAAGCTAGAGGAGCACTACAATTTGTTTCTGTGATGCAGTTATTCTGTAAAGCTTCAGATCAACTGTATTTACAACTTTTGCTGCTTTTACATTTATAAAAATATTTATTTAATCCATAACATTATTGTTTTCAAAAACTATTTCCAGACTTTTTTCTCAGATATAAATTCTAATGGAATTTCAGTTCTATAGCAGATGAGTTTTCAACAGAAACATCTTCTTAAAATTAAAACAAGGAGTTAAAAGTAATTTCTTTTTATTTATGTTTTTTTTTCTTTACAGTGTAGGCACCATTGAAAGTAATTGTCCTTGGCATATCCAACCACCACCTCTCACAAGTGTCCTTTATATAAAAGGAATGTAATGGCAACGTTTGGACTAAAAATGCAGTATTTACTTGCACACACCATTACTTTTTTCCTCAGTATTTGGCAGATAATATTTCAGATTCTTTAAAATGCCTTTTGTGCAAAAACAAAATGTGCAGGTCTGAACCATAAAATAAACACCCCCAGCCTTTATCAAAAATAAATTTACACCAACAGCTCCACATCTAAAGTACTGAAAAACAATCCCAGTTCAAAACTTCAGCATAATATACATACTGGGTCAAAAAAGGGAAAAAAAACAACAACAAAAAAAAAAACAGAAGAGAAGATATTACCCATCTAAGCAGTACCATAAATATATAACTGAAAGCAACTTTATAGTCTTAACCTAGTTTTTATGGAAAAAAAAAAATATTAAAAACCTCACTCTGTACTGCACAGTACTACCTTTTTTAGGTGAAAGAATATCTATAACTCAGTTATTTGCATATTAACTGGTAAATACATCTTTAAAATACACTTTCAGAAAAATTATAAACAAGTGATGGTGATGTACTGTCTTTAATGTATTTAAGGACAAAAAAACCAACCCTGTGTATAAATATCTTACAGGAGAAACAACACCACCACACAGAACGCTGGTGTTACACGGATACCTGCTTGTGAGGTATGTATCATGCGACGCTCGGCTTCCCTGGCTCCCTTCCACCCAGGCATGTATACTCAGAGGAAAGAAATTAAGTTAAACTGGACTTCAGGTTTTGTCCATTATTGCCAAAAGCCCCCACCCCCTCGACTGTATTGCTCTAAATTTTCCTACCATGATGACCTAAGATTGAGTGACTACTTCAAAACCTGGTCTAAAAGGTAACACAGATACTGTACATCAGGATAGACCTGTTGCTACATATCACCTGCAAACTATTGACATATTGCTCTCAAATATATTTAATCATAGAGCTGCCTAAAATACTGTACCAATTGAGAATCAGAATAGATACTGTTGCAGGTTTATTTTTCAGGGCACAATAACTATATGCTGGTTGAAGCAGGTGCTACAGCAATACCCTTGCCACTACGTTACATGTTCTGAATACGCTTGTGAAAAAGCTATTTTCTCTGAAGCTTGTTAGTGATTTACAAAAGTTTAACTCATGAATACAAAAGACCTGTACATCCCCATGTACAGGCACAAAACAGCATCAAAACATACCGTACTTGCACTTTCTATTAACTAAAGTAATGATTATTTCTAAAAGCAAAACTGCACCTCAACATTTATCAGATTAAACAGGTGAAACTACAATATTAAAAGTTGTTCTTTACAAAATAATTTCCTGAAAATATAAAACCATGTGCACTGCCACAAAATAGTTGAGTAGGTTCTTTCAAATCCTCAATCACCATCAATATGTTGCAAAGATCCAAAAGGCACAAGGAGCTCATGAGCTAAGCACTGCCAAGCTTGAAGTAGTTTTGGTGGGTTTCACTGGGTCCATACGAAACGGCAGTCAATTGTGTGAAGTTTCTTAGGATGAGTCATTAACAGAAAATCTACAGATGAAAAAATGGAAGGAAGAACTTTGTTAACGACGTTGTGTCAGCCTGGCAAACAGCACATAACTATTTTTGCATCACTACACTAGTACATGGCTTCACCTCAACAGTTTATAGGAAAACCCCACCAGATACTCTTAAGAAAATATACTCTAAAAAGATAAAGATTCTCTCATTCTCTTCCTGTTTATTGACAGGCTTACAACAAAACTGCAGGCTAAATTCAAGGAAGCAAGGGATAACAACTATAGTGAAACTGCAGCACCAGAAGACTGAACACATACAGTAATTGTTCTTATTCATTTTAGTCTCAAACAGAAACATTACCTATAAATACCAAAGCTGAAAGTTTAAAGCACTGGATATAGCACATCTTTCCACTTGCCACTAAACTACTCAAATTCACACAACATATGAAGTTCACTGTCAACCAACCTTTCCTGTGCAGAAGGACTTGAGTGATACTTCTTTTGAAACAATAATACTTTTTATATAATATTCCTTAACTTACTTCTGAAATTTCTCCATAAGTTTCTTCACCATCTTATCTGTGATCCCTGGACATGTTGCTTCTGCCATATTGATGCTTTTCTCAAGTTCCTCAATTGCTTTCTTTCTGCTAGCGTTATTTGTGTCCTGCTGCTTGAGCTGAGTAGCAAAACAAAGGCAGATAAATCTGTACAAGTTATCAGGCACTTGGGTAATACTTTCAAAGAAGTTTTTTTTACATCGAGACTTACCTCAGCAAACACAGGGGTGATTATCATAGTTAAACAACTCAGGGTTTTAACAAGATCCTGATCCTAAAAGTTAACAAATAAGGATTACATGAGCATACTCTTATATGCCATAGATGCTCTATTTAATGCACATGTGATTCTGAAAGCTCACATCAATTCAGCAAAGCTACTGATATACATCACAAAAACAATGAAGGCCCCAGTACATCAACAAATGTGATGTGGAAACAGATGCCTGATGACACACATGAAACGATATCATATATTGTCAGAAAACCAGTTTTTCCCACCTCTGTGAACAGATACTAATCTATTAGTATCTGGTATCTTTTGCTTCTAAAGCTGACAAGAGCTTAGGAAATAATCACAAGCATCATCTCTTGAACTACAAAAAGGTCTTATGAAAAGTAACTACTGAATTTTATCACTATCTTCTTTAAACTGGCTTCAAAAGCAATTCATCC